CACTATGTTGACCAGGATGGTCTCGATCTCTTGACCTCGTGATCCACCCACCTCGGCCTCCCAAAGTGCTGGGATTACAGGCTTGAGCCACCGCGCCCGGCCCCCCATCTCTATTTAAAAAATATACAAAAAGCGGCCAAGCGCGGTGGTGTGCGCCTGTAGTCATAGCTACTTGGAAGCCTGAAGTAGGAGAATCACTTGAACTCAGGAGGCAGGTGTTGCAGTGAGACGCGAGTGCGCCATTGCACTCCAGCCTGGGCGGCAGAGCTAGACTCCATCTCAAAAAAAAAGGAAAAAAACATTGGCTTGAAGGTGAATTAGTGGTGGAGCCTGGTCTCAGGACACAGGTGTGTGGCTTTTACTTTACCGAAGCTGGCTAGGTGCCGTGAGTCACACCTGTAACCCCAACACTTTGGGAAGCCAAGGTGGGAGGATTGCTTGGGTCAAGGAGTTTGAGACCAGCCTGGAGAACATGGCAAAACCCTCTCTCTACAAAAAAAATACAGAAAAAAAAATGTGCTGGGCACGGTGGCATGCACTTGTAGTCCCAGCTACTAGGGAGGCTAAAGTGGGAGAATCACCTGAGCCCAGGAAGTTAAGGTTGCAGTGAGCCGTGATGGCACCACTGCACTCCAGCCAGGTAAAAAAATAACAGTAAAAAAAAAAAAAAACACCGGGTGCGGTGACTCACACTTGTAATCCCAGCACTTTGGGAAGCTGTGGTGGTTGTATCAGTCCAGTCCAGAAGTTCTAGACCAGCCTGTTAATGTAACAAAACCCTGTCTCGGCCGGGTGTGGTGGCTCACGCCTGTAATTCAAGCACTTTGGAGGCTAAGGCGGGCGGATCACCTGAGGTCGGGAGTTCAGGACCAGCCTGACCAACATGGTGAAACCCCGGCTTTAAAAAAACCAAAAAAAACAAAAACACACACACAAAAAAACAAAACCCTGTCTCTATTTTAAAAACAGCCACAGGGCCGGGCATGGTGGCTCACGCCTGTCATCCCAGCACTTTGGGTGGCCAAGGTGGAAGGATCATCTGAGGTCAGGAGTTTGACACTAGCCTGGCCAACATGGTGAAACCCCACGTCTACTAAAAATATGAAAATTAGCCGGGCGTGGTGACAGGCACCTGTAATCCCAGCTACTTGGGAGGCCGAGGCAGGACAATTGCTTGAACCTGGTGGGGCGGAGGTTGTCGTGAGCCGAGACTGCACCACTGCATGCCAACCTAGGCAACAGACTGAAACGCTGTCTCAAAAAAACAAAAAAATAGCAGTAGCAACAAAAACTTTACAAAGAGGGTACAACACCTCTCTCTCTCTTTTTTTTTATAGCCAGGGCGCAGTGGCTAACACCTATAATCCCAGCACTTTGGGAGGCTGAGGAGGGCAGATCACCTGAGGTCAGGAGTTCGAAAACAGCCCCCTGAGTAGCTGCGATTACAGGTACCTGCCACCATGCCTGGCTAGGAATAACACCTCTTTATGCGATAGCTGTCAATGACGTGAGAATGGCAGCTGGCACAGGTACCTGCATAAGCCTCAGGTCTGGAAGCTGGTCTAGAATGATGCTGAGAGGCTCCATCACCTCAATGAATGAAAGAATAGCTTCTGTTAAGAGGGGGACTCATTAGACACAAAACCTTGGCACTGCCCAGGACCCCACACACAGCAACCACAGCATCTGACCTGTTACAATTCTGCTTTTTTTTTTTTTTGAGTTCCCTATAGCTCTCTGTATACCCTAAATCCCTCAAGAGAACAGAAATAGAAGCATACAAACCCTATCCTCTTATGAGTCAATGTAAACTAGAGTTCTAAGCATCTGCTACTCTTTCCCAAGTCAGAGCCACTGATTTTTTTTTTTAAAGACTGAGTTTCGCTCTGTCACCCAGGCTGGAATGCAATGGTGCCATCTCGGCTCACTGCAACCTCCGCCTCCTGGATTCAAGCAATTTATCTGCCTCAGCCTCCTGAGTAGCCACCACACTACTCAGTGGCCACACATGTGCCACCACACCCGGCTAATTTTCTATTTTTAGTAGAGATGGGGTTTTCCCATGTTGGCCAGGCTGCTCTTGAACTCCCGACCTCAGGCGATCTGCCCACCTCAGCCTCCCAAAGTGCTGAGATGGCCCAGCTACTTGGGAGGCTGAGGCAGGAAAATTGCTTGAACCCAAGAGGTGGAGGTTGCAGTGAGCCAAGATCGTACCACTGCACTCCAGCATGGGTGACAGAGCGAGATTCCGTCTCAAAATAAAATTAAAAAAAAGGGCTAGGATGACAGCGTGAGCCACCTTGCCCAAACCACTGAACTTCTAACAGATGAAAAGGTTTAGCCTGGGCAAGGTGGCTCCTCCTTGTAATCCCAGCACTTTGGGAGGCTGAGGCAGGCGGATCACCTGAGGTCAGGAGTTCGAGACCAACCTGACCAACATGGAGAAACCCCATCGCTACTAAAAATACAAAATTAGCTGATGTGGTGGTGCATGCCTGTAATCCCAGCTACTCGGGAGGCTGAGGCAGGAGAATCCCTTGAACTCAAAATGCGGAGGTTGCGGTGAGCTGAGATCATGCCATTGCATTCCAGCCTGGGCAACAAGAGCAAAACTCTGTCTCAAAGAAAAAAAAAAATAAAAGAAACCAGCTTGGGCAACATACTAAGACCCTATATATAGTGAGTCTCTACAAATAAGTAATTTTATTACTTTTAGCCAGAACAGACGTGGTGGCACACTGCCATGGTCCCAGATACTGCAGAGGTTCAGGTGGGAGGATTGCTTGATTGAGCCCGGGAGGTCCAGGCTGCAGTGAGCCAAAATCATACCACAGCACTCCAGCCTGGGCAACAGAGTAAAACCCTCAGAAAAGGGGTCAGTCGGGGGGAGACAACGGTGAATTGGGCTTCCAGCAAGAGAAGAAAAGCTATTCAATGTTTGCCATGTGTGGTGGCTCAGGCCTATGGTCCCAGCTACTCAGAAGGCTAAGGCATGAAACTCCCTTGAACCTGGGAGGTGTTCAAGCTTGAATGTGATTGCACGACTGCACTCTGCACCCTAGCCTGGGTGACAAAGTGAGACTGTCTCAAAAAAAAAAAAAAAGGAATTTTACCAACTAACTGCGGAATTGAGAAATACAGAAACGAAGCTGCGGAGTTGCCCAGCCGCTACTCACCTCCCAAGGCCCGGCCCTACTCCCCGGCTCTTAGCGCCGGAGGCTGAGACAGGGCTAATAAAAAGGTTTCTCTTTCGGCCCCAACCTGTGATTGGTCCTCAGGGCCTGACCACTGCTGGGCGCTTCCTGTTCCCACCAGGAATCCTGAGAGGTGGGTGCTGACTCCTCACCTGAGCGTCCCCATCTACACCTGTGGTTCTCAATCTTGGCTGCTTGTTAAACTTACCTATCTATCTGGGGCCTCATTTCAAAGCACGAATGCCCAGAGATTCTGGTTGATTGGTCAGATTTGGGCTGCTCCGATACTGGAGTTCTTTAGAGTCCCAGATAATTACGATTGTTGCTGAGTCTGAGAATCACCGCTTAGAAGGCTCAGCTGTGATTGGCTACCTTCTCCATCACACGAGGCATATTATTAATAAAAATCCAACTGCATTTCCATTTAAGTATCAATGACACGTCAACTATGAGACACAAGAAAAGCACCAAATTCATTAGTTTTACACTGGCAGTATTTTTTTTTTTTTTTAAGATGGCGTTTCACCATGATGGCCAGGCTGGTTTCGAACTCCTGACCTCAGGTGATCCACCCACCTCGGCCTGCCAAAGTGCTAGGATTACAGGCGTGAGCCACCACGCCTGGCCACTGGCAGTATTAATTAATTAATTTATTTATTTTTGAGACAGAGTTTCACTCTTGTTGCCCAAGCTGGAGTGCAATGGCGCAATTTCAGCTCACTGTAATCTCCGCCTCTTGGGTTCAAGTGATTCTCCTGCCTCAGCCTCCCCCCTCGTACCTGGGCTTACAGGCGCCTGCCACCGCACCTGGCTAATTTTTGTATTTTCAGTAGAGACAGGGTTTCACCATCTTGGCCAGGCTGGTCTCAAACTCCTGACCTCATGATCCACCTGCTTCGGCCTCCCAAAGTGCTGGGATTACAGGCTTGAGCTACCATGCCCAGACTAATTCTTTTNTTAAAAAAAAAAAAAAAGAAAAAAGAAAAGAAAAGAAATTATAAATTAAATTTATTCCCAAAGTTAACTTGGCCCCATCCAAGAATGAGGGAAGACAGCCAGTCTGTGGGGCTAGATGGAGACAGTGGCATCACACTTCTCGTAGGGTCCTAATTATGCAAAGGCAGCTTTAGTTTCACATAAGGAATTTTATGTGAAATTTTAGTTTGGAACACTGAACAAGTCATCTCAAGTTTCCTTACAAAAGCAAGCCCTCGATCGGGCATGGTGGCTCACCCCTGTAACCCCAGTACTTTGGGAGGCTGAGGTAGGCAGATGAGGTGTGGTCAGGAGTTCGAGATCAGCTTGGTCAATATGGTGAAACCACGTCTCTACTAAAAATACAAAAATTGGCCGGCATGGTGGCTCACGGCTGTAATCCCAGCACTTTGGGAGGTGGAGGCGGGCAGATCACGAGGTGAGAAGTTCAAGACCAGCCTGGCCAACATGGTGAAACCCCGCCTCTACTAAAAATACAAAAATTAGCCGGACATGGTGGTGTGCACCTGTAATCCCAGCTACTCAGGAGTTTGAGTCAGGAGAATTGCTTGAACCCGGGAGGTGGAGGTTGCAGTGAGCTGAGATCATACCACTGCACTCCAGCCTGGGTGACAGAGCAAGACTCCATCTCAAAAAAAAGAAATTCTTTTATTTCCAACAACATTGAAGAACATGAAGGACATTGTGCTAAGTTAAATAAACCACACAAAAAAAGGTGAATACTATATGATCTCACTTATATGTGGAATCTAAAGTAGTCAAATTCATAGGAACAGAAAGCGGAATGGTGGTTGCCAGAGACTGGGTGGAGGGAATCATGGGGAAATGTTTTGCAGAGTACCAAGTTTCAGTTATGCAGCTTGAATAAGTTCTAGAGATGTAATATACAGGAATGTGATTATAGTTAACAATATTGCATAGCATATTTGAAATTTGCTAAGAGAGTAGATCTTTTTTTCTGAGAGGGAGTCTCACTCTGTCACCCTGCCTGGAGTGCAGTGGCACAAACTCGGCTCACTGCAGCCTCTGTCTCCTTGGTTCAAGTGATTCTCCTGCCTCAGCCTCCCGAGTAGCTGGGACGTGCCACCATGCCTGGCTTATTTCTGTATTTTTAGTAGAGATTGGGTTTCACCATGTTGGCCAGGCTGGTCTCGAACTGCTGACCTCAGATGATCTGCCTGCCTTGGCCTCCGAAGTGCTGGGATTATAGGTGTGAACCACTGTGTCCGGCTGACCACAGCCCTTTGATGTCCACAGAGGGTGCTGGCGTCTGTGGTTAGACTCCGGCTGGCGTTCCCTTGACTCTGTTGAGGGACCTCTTTTGGTTGCACCAGGCCCATCATCATGGCCATGAGGACCAGTGAGGCACTTGGTCCTCTGCAGGAGGAGTTCAGGCAGCTGAGCCTGGGTTAGAAGGACAGATGGTTACAGAAGGGGCAGCCAGGCAGCCCCACTAAAAGACCCTAAAGTGGACCCTGTGTCTCTAGTCTACCGACACTAGCCCACACCCACAAAACAATTCTCACCTTTCTTTCCTGCTGTCATCCTGGATGCAGTGGTGGTATCACCAGGGAATTCTACGGTGAAAAAAGACGGCGGTGAGAAACAGGGAGCAGCTGATGTGGTCTGTCTGAGCCCTGCCTGTTGCTTACTTTCTTTTTCTTTTTTTTTGAGGCAGAGTCTCCCTGTGTCTCCCAGGCTGGAGTGCAGTGGCTCCATCTCGGCTCACTGCAACCTCTGCCTCCTGGGTTCAAGTGATTCTCCTGCCTCCACCTCCCAAGTAGCTGGGACTACAGACACCCCCCAGCACACCTGGTTAGTTTTTTTTTTCCAGTGTGTATTTTTAGTAGAGATGGGGTTTTACTATGTTGGCCAGGCTGGTCTCAAACTCCTGACCTCTTGATCTGCCCACACTGGCCTCCCAAAGTGCTGAGATTACAGGCGTGAGCCACCGCACTCGGCCTTTTCCATGTTTTAGAACCAACATATGTATGTCTGCATCTGTATTTCTTTTTGTTTTTTCTTTTTGAGTCAGGGTCTCACTCTGGCGGGAGTGCAGTGGCACAATCATAGCTCACTGCAGGCTACAGGCATACGCCATCATGCCTGACTAGATTTTCATACTTTTTGTAGAGATGGTGTTCTCACGATGTTGTCCAGGCTAGTCTCAACCCCATGGGCTTAAGTGATCTTCCCGCCACCACGGCCTTCCAAAGTGCTGGGATTTCAGTCATGAGCCACCATGCTTGACCTGGGGTTTACTTACCAGGTCCTCTAAACTTTCCTCCACAGTAGGGATTGCCAGGATCCTACCCATTTTTCACGTTCCTTGAGAAAATGAAGGCAAGAAATATTTAGAAAACCTGTCTGAGGTCTTGAAGATCACAAACAGCTGTCAGGTTTGGAAGCCCAGCTCTATTCTAGAAAAAGTCTGAAAGTGAGGGACGGAGGGAAGGGAAAGGATGAATTAAATCCACCAGGCCTGGTGAGGCTGCTCACACCTGTAATCTCAGCACTTTGGAGGCCAAGGCGGGTGGATCACGAGGTCGAGAGATCGAGACCTATCCTGGCCATCATGGTGAAACCCTGTTTCTACTAAAAACACACAAAAAATAGCCAGGCATGTTGGCGCGTGCCTGTAGTCCCAGCTACTTGGGAGGCTGAGGCAGGAGAAT